CACAAAGCTTTCGTTTACAGGTAGTATTAAAGTACTGAGACGTATAATTCAGACTGATTCCTAAATGCTGGGAAGTGACACCGTCGGTCAGAGGCTGCATTATGAATGCTGCCTCTGAAGTCAGCCTCACGCATGTCTCCTTTGTATCAGAGCAACAACAACAACTGTGCTGTGTGTCTGTGCTCCCAGAAACCTGTTATCTGCAGCCCACACGGCCCAGGCGCCACGGTTACAATCTGTAGATGCGTCCGGCGATACGCCGACCGGCCGCTTCACACAGCGTCCTTTTTCTCTACGTCAAAGCCACGATTTCACGGCGGAGCGCAGAGGACTGAGAGGGCCGTGCGAGCCTCCGCGGTGACGTCAAAGTGCCGTGTTATTGTGTTTACTCTCTCCATGAAAGATCAACACCAGCCTGCAGTATTTACTGACAGGCTGGAGCGCAGTTAGGAACCATAACATAACAAGACATTTAACATTCTGCCGTGGCCTCAGGATCGACAGCCGGATGGTTTTTCCCAACACGCAGATGGTGCTGATGTAGGTCAAAAACCAGGAGAAGAAGCAGAAATAGAAACAAATGCTTCATGTGAAGAATTTCTGTTCAGATGGGAGGAAAACAGACATGTGGTGGACACGATGATCCAAGTATTTACTATTTATTAAGCAAAGTGACAGAATAGTGACTCTGTCAATATACATCTTTATTCAACTTTGAAGTGGCTGCTTAATCAAATTGTGAGCTCTGCACTGATTTATGTCAAACTGTCTTCACACCATCAGATGCTGTCAGGGGGCTGCGAATTCTGAATTCTCTCTGCTTATTAAACATTAAGAAAATGTTACATTTTTGTTATTATTACTTTGTTTTAGTTGAGTTTTGGTCTAGTTTATGTTTTTTCTGTCTCCTGAGTCGTTTCCTGTCCTCTGTGCAGTCTTACATGTTGTCTTGTCCACATTCTTTTAAGTTTCCTGTTTTACTTTGAAGGGTCTGCTGTTCCATGTTCAGTGTTCCCTGCTGTTCAGGTTCATTTGTGTCAGCTGTGTTTCTTCAGGTGTTCTCACTTCCCTCATTGCCCTCCTGTGTATCGTCTTCTGTCTTCCTCTGTTCAGCATCGTGTTCTTCAATTCGCAGGATTATTTTCAAGCTTCGGTTCAGGTTCATGTCATCGTTTGCTTATCCGAGTTCTTGTTATAGTTCACCTTTGCTTTTTGTGTTTCTCATGAGCCTGAATAAATGGCTCGCTTTTTAACTTTCGTCCTGTCCTTTGTGTGTCTGATTTTGGGTCCACACCTTAAACACACCGGCCATCCTGGCCATAACAGATGGTTTACTTCAGCAGCTGTTGGATCATATATGGTTTATAAAACGTGGACATAAACACTTTCTCCAGTTCTTTGAGTCTCACCGTTAGTGTTTTGTCCTCTCCAGTTCTGTGTTTTCTGATTTTTAAGTGATTATATTTGCTGTATCAAATCTAACACTAGTTCTTTACTAATTTGGGGTCGCTGATGTCATAAATAACACCCGTTGCAGATGTGACACAAGTAAACACGATCGCGAAGCTTTCATCTGCGAATGCTTCACTTATTTTGGTTTGAAACCAGAAAACCAAGACGACCTATGACACCTGATTCAGTGTGTTGGGCGTGTGTGGATAACTTGATGGTCATGTTTTGCCTCCAGATGCACATTATTCTGGTGATGAAGACTTTGAAGATCCATCCCCTTGGAGCTCATCAGTTACTCACTTAGCCAGAGTTAAATGACTGAGTATGAGATCTGCCAGAGGAAGCAGCTGTCGGCTCAGTGAGAGTAACCTCCTGCCTCCAGGAGCCAAATTTGCTTTTTACAGGCATCACAAGACCGATCTTAATCCAGTGTTTGAAATGCACGATGACCTTGTGTGTGTTGTTGTTGTTGAAGGTCTTTGGGGTGCGCTGGGCTGTGAGAGTGATGCAGATGAGTGGAAACTGTTCGCTGACAGCTCAGAAGCCTAAAATATGTCCTGCTGCAGTGACTATGAAACTATGCAAACTATAACAATACACAATACACGCTGATGGACCGTTTACACGACTGAATACATTTACTGGCATTTTTAAACTCAGCGTAACTGAATTTGGACATGTCGGATATTCTATTAGGGAACTTAATTTTTTTAAATGCAGAGTGATGAATTAGTTATAACACTGATGCTCCAATGAGTGCATCAGGAACAACTCTGGGTTTGGTATACTGCCTAAGGAAACTTAGACCAAAGCAGCCAGGAATTGAACCTGCAACCTTCCAATTAGATGATTTGCTCAGCCTCCCCTAATTGGACTATTAATCAGGCAAAGAAAATCCTTAAATCTCAAACTAGAGCACAGGTTTCTGTTAATGCAGTAAAGCACACGGAAAACCGAAGTACTGGATTAAAAGTCTCCAAAAGTACAGACCAGAGGTCCAGTTACTGTAGCTGGGGGACTGGCTCGCTTTTTGGAGCCTCATGTGGACACTAGAGGAACTACAGTTTATGAAGCTTCATGTTTCGGGCCCACGCATCGATGCTTTTACTCACGGCACACCGATCACGTTTACTGTTGTTCACAGTCCACCCTCACGTGAAGCCAGCATCTTCACTACGATTCCGTCTGTTTTCAGAGTTTTGGACGGACGTGAGAAACAGGACAGCGTTTTAGCCTCACAGAGTATTTCTGTGCTCTGCCTCCGGCTTCTTTGGACATCTTGGACTTGAGAAACAATCATCAGAAAGATGAAAAAAGAAACAGAGCTGTCATCTTAATCATGTTCATATGTCCTCACAGACAGAGAGGCGGGCAGACGAGCCCCCCAGAGTCCAGGGGGGTTGGAATGAGCTGTGGCTAACCGCTGGTTTCTTCCATCCCGACCACTGTGCAAGTTCCCACCATGCCCTGTTCACACACATCACACGATCACAGGAACAACAAAAATATGTCTGAATATAAAAAGTTACAATTTATCACTTCATACCTGCAGAAATTCATAAACAGATTTTTCTTCTAACCCCTATTTCTTTCAAGTTAAAAACATTTCCTGGAGTCGTCATGTCAGCACCATCATATGGAAGAAGCTCCCTCTAACAGATCTTCATTTACACTGATCTATAAATCTGACAAGACACTGACAAACTGAAATGTCTAAACCACGGATGAGGCTCATTCAGCCCAATTTGACCTTAAACTCCACTTTTCTGTCTCAGATATCGTGATAGAAGAAAAAAAAGTGAAATCCCAACAATACATCTCAGTTCTTCGATATGATAAAGAAATACTGTTGCAGTAAATGGATGAAATCTGTCAGCCTGATGTTTCTGGATTAAATGTTAAAAAATAAATGTGCAAAATTCCTGAAAAATGGTTCAAATTCCCAGATTCTCCTTAAATAATAAAGCAAAGGAAAAAGTCTTTTCTTTTCTATGAAAAATATTACTTTTTTTCAGAGAGTAAAAAAGAAGGAACTTTTTACAATCATTTAAATTTTTATCCATTACCTAAAAACTTTAATGAAAATATTGAAAGTATTTTACTACCACTTATTTTAAAATCTGTGCCCTCCCTTCCAGAGCCACGCAGTGGGCCGGGCTGGACTCTTAGCGGTCCAATTCTGGCCCTCGGGCCATAGGTTCAGAACCCCTGGGCTTGTTTTTAATGAAGGAATCTTGACTTATTCCTAACAAAACACCGTAAAGACATTAAACCTGTTTACAGACTTTACGCCACTCTCTCGTTTCATTTCTGTGACTCTGCTGCACGTATGAGTCGCCTGTTTCTAAGCAGTTTGTAATGATTTATGGTGTTTACAGGACATAACCTGTAACGCAACGATGAGCGGGCGTGACAGAGGTTTAGAAACGTCTCCCGTCATCTACTGCGAGGATAACAGCCTGAACATTCACAGAAGGCATTCTGGGAAATGCAAGAATAGCAACCAAAGAAGTAGCGAAGGTGCCACACCTGTATTTATGTGAGAAGAGTGACACCAAGTGGCCAGATACGAGTACTACCATAAAACAGTTGGATAACTACAGGTCGGTTACTTTGGTTAACTCGAACAGAGACTTGGGAGAAGTTTTCCAACAGTCAGAAGACTTTCATGTTGGAAACGTTACATTCAAAAACACACAAATCTGCTTGTTTTCATCTTTTCCCAGCGTTTTCAGGCTTGCTTGAAATTTATTCTGAATGTGTGCATCTGGATGTTGGGGATCTGTAGGCCATGCTAGCTTTGCACTTACCTCTTCTTTTCGCAGGTACACTGTTATTAGGTCACACCTCATAATCTTTGAATGCAGGCGTTCCCAGTCCCATTGCCACAGGTGCACCATGGTCCACAGCTGCAATAAGTCAGCTCAACGAATTTCCTCCCTGATACGCTGTAAGTGGTTCAGTTGCAAAGCTGAAGTACAGCAGCTCAGCCAGTAAGTGTCAGACTAGAGTTACAGAGTGAGGTCACCGATTGCTGAGGTGCGTAAAAGTGACCAACCCTGGCTGACTCAGTAACTCCACAGCTGCAGAACTCCTCCGGCTTTAACATCAGCACAAAATCTGTGTTTCAGGAGCTTCATGACACGAGTCGTCTTAATATTAATGGGTTAGTTTTGCAATAAACTTTGGACAATTTAATGCTTCCAACATCTCTGCGACATCATGGCCGTGACAAAGCGAGGCTCATACAGGCTTGTTTGGTGAGGAAGAACTTGCACAGTGGGAGGTCATAAACCTGCAGGCGTACCACAAACAGCCAGCGGTTGGTAATGCACCCCTCGCTGCTTTTTTTAAATGTTCTAGAAATGTTGTCTCCTCGTATCGAGGGGCTCATTCATCATTATCACTTCTAATGTAGCAATAACTTCATTATGTCATTAATCACTCATTAAACTTGCACAGCATGAACATGAAGCATGAAACTGACCCCCTTTTTAAGACTTCTGTTGAATGATCTTTTATAAAAGAAAAACAGACAAAACAGCAGATCTCGTCTTGGCGTCATATTTGTTCTTTAATCTTCGATGGCTATCACACATACCGACCGACGGGATTCAACATAAAGTGTTCCAGATCTTCACAGTATTGCATTTTTGCACAGTGTTTTTTTTTTTAAGTTTGTTTTTTTACAGAGTACAGAGTTCTTGAGTGAAGGCACAAACCTAGAGATTACTTCTGCAAATGAAATCCCTACGGACAAAAGTTAAGAAATCAAGAATATCAAACAGAACGCTGCTGCTAGAAGTTTTACGCAAACAGAAAAGCTAACGTCACCTCTACCACCTTACTGCAAGAAAGGCAGAGAGTCATATTCAAACAAACAATACATCAGGTACAATACTTTTCTTTTCTTGCACACTTGAACCGCCTCTTGCACATCGATCACCCCAAACATTTCAAAACTCTTTCAAACCTGTGCACGAACCCTGCTGATTGTCCGTTATACATCCCTCTTCCCATCGAAAGACATCCAACAGTGCCAAGCGAAGCTCTCTTGGATGGTTTAGTGCAACTCTCCTTCAAATACCATTAAAATAGACCTCGCTCTGCTACAAAAGTACACATGGTAGTACAAGATAACAGTATTTTATAGGATTTTTTTGCTACATATGAAGCATGCTTTCACAGTAACACAATAGCTACATATGTAGTAGTAGTAGTAGGGCTGCTTCATGCATCTTCTTCCATTTTCCAAATACAAAACAGGAAGCAGTTCAGAGTCGAACCCAACGCCCGCACACTTCCAAGAGATCTGCTGTTGTCTGAATAAAAAAACCCAAAACTTAAAGCTGGTACGTCATCCCTGACCGGCAGAGTAAAGTGGCATCCACACAGGAAGAGGAAGTCGCCAGAAACCTCGAGAAACTTCATGAAATTCAGCAACTTGTAGGTGGAGGAACCGCACGTGCACAGAGCCACTGAATGTTTACCAACGGGAGTGAAAAACCACTTATTGACTGTCACATGACCATACAGCAGCAAATCATGAGCTACAAAGCCGTAATGTCTCCCAAGAATACCGTTATGTTTCATATCCAGAGACCTGCCAGACACCATGCAGCAAGCTTCTACCAGGATATGAACACATTACCAGATGGCAGACAGAGGATGACGTTGAACTGTTCATGATGAAGGTCTCCGATGGCCAGAGACAGATGGCAACTTACGGCAGGAAAAAGATGCTAAAAAAATGAGGCAAACTTCAGCCGAGAGAACATCTGAGAAGATCCGTCCACAGCATGAGGTTAGTCATTAGTGTGGTGCTGGATGGTTTGGATCACTCCCCGATTCTAAGCTTAATGCCCATCAAGAGACGGGGTTTTTATGTCAACAACAGCAGTGCTCAGTGGTCGGTTTATCCAAACCTATCAGCATCAGGTTTCTCCAAGCGGCGAAATTCAAGAATACCGTTTCAGGGACACGAATCCAATTTTTGACCACAGGACATTAATATCAAAGATATACTCTACATTACTACCAAACGTCTCACATCTCAGTTTGATTCCAATAAAAACACAAACATATAATTGGCTTTAAATATATTCTAGTAAATCTGAAATTCAAAAAGAGTGCCTGGAAGCTCAATTCTCAAAGATCTGACAAGGTCAATCGAAAGTCAAATTCACACCGACTAACTGGAAAGAAAGAGAGAATAATAGATAATACAGATTTCATGCTGTAGCGCCTCAGCAGCAGCAGGGTAATATGCTTCCATAATTACATATTTCCAAGACGAATTTGCATGACATAATTTAGGAAATACTGAAATGTTTCCAGAACCTGCACCCTGTTAGACATAAAATGATTTCTATTTGCAAGTCATACAAAAGTCCGGTCAAGTTATAGTACTGTAGGACCACCACCTCCACTTGATGACATGTAACAGCTCTGTATATAAAATATCAACACCATCAACAAAACCTAAACCGACGACAGCAAAGATACAGTTTACACCAAATACTGCCTTTTTTACATTTACATTCTAACATTAGATGAGTGCAGAAATGTAAACGGATCGAGGAATGATTCTGTTAAACAAGCCGTCGTGAGTCGTTAAGAATACTGCAAATGGACTGTACGCATTCACGGCACTGTTAAGTCACTTTGGATGAAAGCGCTGACGTGACGTCATTCGTGTGTGATTGGAGAATCTCCACCCGTTTAGACGTGAAGGAGCGCGAGCTAAAGCCCGAAACGTCGGGACTTGAAGCACGGCGTCGCTTCACTGTGAGCTATAAATTAACTCATACATTCGTTAAGTGTGTGGCGTCCTCCAGACCTGGGCCAAAGCGCTCCTTCATGTACCTGGACAGCTATATTCAAAAAAGCAAGCCTCTCCAAATGCATCTGCACTTGTTGGGGACTATTTTCAATCGTCTCCACTAAAGGGCGTCGGCTACGCCAACAAGCCTTCGGGTCTTTTTTCAGTTCAGATTGTCTGAAATGGGACAAACCGTCCAAAAAGTTGTGCTGTTTTAGTTTTTCTAAGTCCGCCACACCACTGATGAAATCCTGCTTTGGCAGCAGGTCGGTAAGTTTCTCACCGATGGATAGCATGACAGCTCCTTAGAAGTGAAGTTAAAACATCTTAGCAATGGGCGTCATCGTCTAGGACATGTGACATCATCTACAGACGTCGCAGTAATGACTCAGGACACGATATCGAGGTCCCGCATTTTGCCCTGCCCTCGGTGTTATGATAAGAGACAGGCAACCGAGCAGCTACAGATCATTTTACTCCAACAAGTGTCCACACCCAGAGTCCAGTGGGGTGGAGTCGAGATGGTGGCGGCAACGTGTCAGCACCACATCAAACCCACCGCTAAAATATCATCGCCCATTTCTGCAACATTTCGTCCTTATTTGAGTAGTGTAGAAGGAAGCGGTTTCCTCCATGTTTACTTATCACCTGTTGTCATCTTTCCTCTCTATGCATCAAAAGCAGATCGATCTTCGAAGGAAACTCCTCTCAGCTACATGCTGAACAGATTTGACCCGGGTCTGGCATCATCGAACTTGTGCCTGTGCTTTAAAAACCAAATCAGTGCTGACAAGGAGGCGTTACTGAAAATCAACTTCACTCAGAGCGTGTCCGAGGCTGGTGCCAAAAACCGCAGAAAGAAAGACGTTGTATGCTCAATAAAGGACAGTTCAAGCACAACCCAGTCGTGTGTGTGGGTCCTGTGTTACAGGACCATCCTAATTGCTCAAACCACCTCAGCCGATTCCTCTTCGTACAAACTAAACTGGTGGTCATCAACAGCTTACTGCAATCAACCACATCACCCTCAGTCTTATTATCACTTTACTCGGGAATGGGATTCTCAGATATACATTTTCCCAGATACGTTCACTGAAGAATCACCTCATTATGCTGGTGAAGAGGGCTGTGTGCCTCTGTGATCCTGGGAACATCACTGTTTGAGAAAAAAACCCTGCTAGAGTTTTCCAAGGCAAACAGGTCCCGGGTCTGTTTGGTTTTCTTTTCTGAGTAACCTCAATAAAAACTGACAACTAGAAGTGATAAACGTTGCCCAGAAGCTATCAAAGCCAAACCAGGGGTAATGGTGATGGGTGGAGCCCAAAAGAGCTGGAGTTGGGTATCACCTGAAATAGCCACGACTACAATGGCACTGAATTTGGTTCCATCAAGCAAAGAAAAAGGACTGTGGCTATGCAAACCCTTTACATACCAGGATCCTCCCTTGGAGAGGAATAGCCCAGACTATGAGCGGAAAAGGATTTAAACCAGACCTTTGAAGCAGCCTTGAAACATGGAACCAGTTGGGCACAGCCCAAAACAGTCAATGCTAGAAAGGATAGACAGTAGAGTTGGGTGCACCATGCAAAGGCAAGGACCCAGGATTTCTCTTGGAATAGTAAGAATTTAGCTCCTTGTACCTCCTCCTTCAGCAGAAAGCCAAAGTTTCACTCGTGATGGGCTGTTAAGATGTGATTGAACAATAACAGACTAAACAAATCTTAAACTATCGAGATGGTCCCGGGTGATGATTTGGCTTAGAAAGCACAGGCAGAGACACGATAACTTGACTGATCAGGAGTTTTCGAGCGAACCAGGCCAGGATGTGAAGGTCTGACCAGAGGAGAGGACGTGTCATCAGGCGTCAAATTCAAATTCTGTGATCAGACGGGCATTAAATCATAAATCAACAGACGAATAGAAAGCACACCTTTGTACCTGAAGATAAAATGAACTATTATACTTAACAGACAGAATTCAGTTCTATGTTTCAATATCGAAGGTTTACCCAGTCATACATCCAAAGGAAAAAGAACCAAGTGTAACAGTTTACACTTCCACTCCAGTTTAATAATCTATGGAAAAGTACCAAAATTACAGCAATCAATTAAAAGTGGAATGTGTCTGATGCAAAGAGCTCATGGAGTCATATTTGTTATTGCTTTATGTTGTAAACCCTGTTCGGAGGAAGGAGCCATGATAATCTGTTATCATCTTCAGAATTATTTTATCCAATAGATTTTATGTAAAAGCTGGATGCACTGGGTCAAAAACCAAGTAAGCAGAACCTTTAATGGTGACATAGCCTTCTTCTTGTCATCAGACTCCGCCCCCTGCTGGCCATTAGAAAGAATGCAGGTTTAAGGCACTTCCACACTGGCACCACTTCTCAGACCTGGAAGCTACGTCCATCTTTTATATATAGTTTTCCCTCCATTATTATTAGAGACCACGGGTCATTTATGGAGTTTTCAGGAGGAGAAGCACTAAAGTATAAATAATTAAATATTTTTAAATAATCTGCCAGATACAAAAAATCCTTTTTAAAATCATTTTAGAAAATTTGGTCTAAATTTGCAATGACAAAAATATTCATGTCAAATTTATTACTGTTTAGTATTTGAATACTTAACTTTTGGACTCCTGGGAGTCAGACTAACAAATCCAGCTTTAAGATGAGAAGTGGTGTAAAAGAAGTCTGATGTTGATGGGAGCTACTTTTCCATAGGTTAACGTACTGGAATGAAGTCACCGTGTGATAAAGTCTTGCCCCCTGACACCCCTCCCTCTGGTCTTTCTCTGCTGGTCTAGTCCTCGTACCCAGCGGACCGGCGCCGCTGATGGTTCCAGATGTCGTCTCTGTGTTCAGGCCGGCAGAACAGCCGGGATGACTGAGCTAGGCGCTCCCGGTGTTCCCGCTCCCGATCTCGGTCTCCGCCTGGTTTGGAGAACGGAGGACGTCCGCCGAACTGGGACGAGGACTGAGTTCTGCTGTCAGCGAGACCAGACGAGGACAGCTGACCTCCTGCTGACCTGGAGACGAAACTCAGACATGAACAAACAAACAAACAAGAGAAGGAAGCTGTCATTTTAACTTCATATGATGGAAACACTCACGCCTCAATTACATTTTACACAGTAGGAGCGGGTAGCCAGTCACACTGATGATAAACCAGAACTGTCCCTGGTTGGTGTCCAGCCTGGAGACCATCAGCACCTCAAATGCTGCCTTTTCACCTGCATCACCGATGATCTCTTTAAGCTCAACAAATCCTTATGAGTTTGACACGAAACAAGAAAGAAAAATGCACCAAACATCCTTTTATGTTCAGCAACTTTACATCGAAGACACAAGAGTAACCCGATCAGGTAAGACATGAAAACTTTCAAAAATGACAAACTTCCATCTAACTGCAAAAACAGACAGAACCTGCTGTGCAACATTAGTCGGTTTTTACGGACACGCTGGACCGAACAGCTGGTCTCACACGACGAACAAAGTTCAACAAGAACCTTTGAAGATAAACAGCATCTGACCTGAGCGCACACAGAGAGAGTGTGGTAATCCCTCTGCAGTCACTGAGCGAAAGCACAAAGCATCCCATGTTGAGCCATGAATTAAACATGAGAACACCACAGAGAAACCCGACAGATGACACGAGAAAGCTCCTGGATGATTTTGACTTTGATTTAGACCAACAGCAGCAGATTACCTGCTCTGTCAGAGGCCAGTTCCTGCTGAGCAACAAACCTTTTTACACCTACACCCCATCGGTTATTGACGACTTTCCTCCCTCTCAGCTCAAATTCAAATGATTTGCAATAAAAAGCCAAGAGGAAAAGGAAACAGCTGCTGTAATGCTGCACTTTCAGAGGAACAAATATGGATTCAAATCTACTTTATTTATATAGCACAAATTCACAACAACAGTCACCTGAGGGCACTTTATGATGTAATTATACAGAGAAAACCGCAACAATCAGACAAACCTGTATGAGAAAACACTTGGTGACAGTGGGAAGGAAAAACTCTTTTTTAACAGGAAGAAACCTCCAGTAGAACCAGGCTCAGAGAAGGGCGGCCAGAGTTTAATACGATTTTAAATCCTACATTTTTTAGCAGTATTTAATAATATAAGTATAAGGTTCAACCTGTTTGTGTCCAGTTAACACTTTAATATTTCTCCTTGATTTCAGTCTGAAAATTTGCTAATACTGTTTATTCAAAGTAACGATGGACTCACCTGCTCTTAGTTATTCTGTGAGGGCCGTTATCAGTTTTCTGCTGGTGCTGCTGAGGTCATAAAAATCACAAGAATCAGGCCTTCATCAGAGCAATAACCCACCACAGTAAAACATCATAACTGGAAAAGTCAGGATCAATTCAGTCTGTCAGTGTAAAAGTTATTTAAAAGCAGCTGAAAAAACAAACATAAAATGACATAAAGAAACACAAAGACTTACAAAACAACTAGAATAAATAAATGAATGAATAAAAACAACCAAAGACAGTACCTTGTAGTGGTTGCACTGTGGCGGACTACCGTTGACCTGGTAATACTCCACCAGCCTCTCGGCCAGAGCGATACGTCTCAGCAGATTCTCGATGAAATGCTGGATTCGAACTTTGCCGCACGTCTCCTGGCGAACCGCCGCCTCCAGAAACTTCTGGATGGTTAACACTTCCCTGCAAAGCAAAAATCACCCAATTCATAACTTAAATATACCATTCACCCCCAGCTATGCAAGAGAGGCAAAAGGGAAATAACGGGCTGCACCTTCAGATCCTGTCCATGAATATCATAAACAGGATCAGAGACAAGGAGCAACCCTGGAGTCCAGCACCATCCACCTGGCACATCCTCCAGACCAGCGGTCCCCAACCTTTTTTGCGCCACGGACCGTTTTATGGTCGACAATATTTTAACGGACCGGCGTTTAAGGTGTCGCGCATAAATACAACAAAATAAAACCAGTACTGGTACCAAAAAAAAATGAAGATTTATTCTTAACAAACAAAAGAATAAATCCCTGAAAACATAAATTTCACCCCCGAACCTGAACTCTCGCGGCCCAGTACCAAACGACTCGGTCCGTGGCCCAGGGGTTGGGGACCGCTGCTCCAGACCACATCAGTGAGATCCTGCCCGCCTCACCTCTCTCGCCGCTCCAGCTCATTCTCTGAGGCGTTGAGCTGCTCCCTCAACGCGGCAATAACCATCACAGCCACATCCACCTGTCGGCTAAGCGACCTCTCCTTGTCTGCAACTTCCTGCCTCTCCTGGGCCAGATGCTGTGAGTGAGCACGCTCACACAGGAGCTCCGTGTCGGTATGAGCCAGCTCGGTGCTCACCCTGGCCAGCCGGCGCTGCATGGTGCTATCGGCCGCCCTCAGAATGCTGGCCAGCCGCTGCCGCACTGCAGCCGAGGCTGCTGCCGTCTCCAAACCGGAGTAGGAGTTATGCTCTGGTAGGTGCAAACAAGACGAGACGTTACTGCAAAAAACAGATGTATTCTGATACTGCAACACTCTGCTCCAGAAACCCACCAGTCAGATCCAGATCCAGGTCCAGATCTGGGTCCGGTGGAGGGCCAAGTGGGGGGAACAGTATGTGATGGTGGTTGATGTGGTGATGGTCTGACTTTTTTGAGGAAGTTTTCAAATCCTCCTCATTTCTGCTTCCACTTCTCTCTTCACCCTCATCGTCCTCATCCTCCTCGTCTTCTTCCACATCTTCGTCTTCTGTCCCCACATCGATTTCCTCGTCCTCCTCCTCCTCCGCCTGCGTCCCTACCCCAACGCTCTGGGTGCGCCTCCTCGCAGACCCATATGAGTGGAGGTATCCGCTGTCTCTGCTGTCGCTGAGAGAGCGGACATGAGGTGGCCTCCCTGTACTTTGCTGCCCCCTACGCGTTGGGAGGCTCATGTCGTGCCACGGGATAGCTGCCGTCAGCGGGTCGGGGAGCTTCCCGGTAATGCTGAACCCTTCAGTGACCATGTCTGGTGAGCGATACGAGTGGCGGTACTCGAGGTGAGCGCGGAGGGAAGCCAAACTGTGGAAACGCTCTTGCTCGCCACAGCGGGGACAGCGGAAGGGGAGGTCACAGGGAGTGACAGTGTCCACAATCGCGCCGCAGGCCTGGCCGTTCCTCTCTAAAAGGAAGGATCCAGAACCTCGGGAACACAACTTCTGCTGCATCACCTTACACCTGAGAAGTACGGAGGGGATTAGTGCTGAAAGACTGAAGACCCTAATTTACTGACTACAAAAGCTGCATTAGCTCAAACACCCACTCCATAGACTCCCAGGTTAGAATGTCCAACTTTACAGCAGACACAAACTTGGTAACCTTTAGGGTGTCTAGAGATAACCCTGCCTGACCTCATCTGTCCATCACCACTGCAGACAACAAGGGGCTCAGATCAGACCCCTGATGTAAACCCACCTGTCAGCCCTTCACACACCCCACCTCATACATATCCTGCACCACCTTCACATACTTGACAGTCTATCATATGGTTTCTGTAGATCCACAAAGACACAGTGCAACATCACATCCTCGTTTCAATTCAGTTATTTAATTTATTTAAATGTGCAGTGCATTTCTTTTTTACAATAAAAAGACAAAAAAGATTATTATGGGCGATGAAAGCCTCATTTTACACAGCTTATTTGTTTTGTTTTGTTTTGGGGGTTTTAAACACATATACATAGTCATGTACACCTGGGCTAATGTTAAGTTTCTGTTACCTTGGAGGATTATTGTGTTTGTAGTTAATATAGACCGAAAATATGTGATTTTAAGTGAGCTCGGACCGGCTGAGCACAAACGGAGAGGACTTCCCCCTCGGTTCCCCCTCAGAGTCTGTTTGATCCCGAGTCTGAACAACAGGTACCTGTCGTTATCACAAAGCTGCACCGTTAGCTTTACCTGGCTGCAGCTGCTAGCCTAGCCTAGCCAAGCGGGTTAGCAGAGACCGAAACAATCGCTGAATCACGGCGGAAGGATTTAAACTCTCTTACCGCGCGCAGCTTTAACGGCTGCCTTCAGATGACACTCCCAGATGACCCGTTACTGTCTGAAGGAGTCCGCTCGCAGCCCGACGCAAACAGCAGCCTGCATGATGTCATTCATTCAGGACACATAGGACCAGACAGCAAGCTAGCAGCGCCGCTGACCAGCCACATCCGGGAAAACGTTTCAAAATAAGATCAAATGCGTCACTTCCGTCCAGGGTGCGGGCGAAACTGTTGGTTTTGTTCATTTATTCATATTCAAGGTTTTTATTCTTTCTTTCTTTTTCCGTTTTAAACGTATTTATTAGAAGTTTTCCTCTTTTTTTTTACTTTTACTGCTGTCATATGACTGCTCAGGAAAAACCTGAAAGCTGGGATGGCGATGCATCACCACCAACAATGAGACTGACATGCACTGTGAAAACTAGTGCAGTAATCGGTGCATGAACAACTGCGGAACTTTTTCCAGCAAGTTGTAAGACTGTTGAACTCTGGCACTGCTCTGGAGCCTCTGAAATGTTCACTCTCTGCCTGAACATTTTCTTGTTTATATGGTAAAATGGTCAAATGGCCTGCATTTGTATAGCGCTTTTCTAGTCCATAGGACCCCAAAGCGCTTTACACTACATTCAGTCATTCACCCATTCACACACACATTCACACACTGGCGATAGCAAGCTACATTGTAGCCACAGCTGCCCTGGGGCACACTGACAGAGGCAAGGCTGCCGGACACAGGCGCCACCGGGCCCCACCGGGCGCCACCGGGCCCTCTGACCACCACCAGTAGGCAAACACAGGGTTAGTATCTTGCCCAAGGATATTTGGCATGCAGCCAGGAGGCAGCCTGGGATCGAACCACCGACCTTCTGATTAGTGGCTGACCCTCTCTGCCACCTGAGCGACAGCCACCCATTATTATTATAATAATAATAATAATAAAAGATTTTCTTATGTATACTAAATAAGACTGTAAATGTGTTTTCTGTTCTGCTGCTTTTGTGTCTTCACTCTTTTTGGTTTTCAGGTCTCGCTGGACTTGGGTGCAAATGTTCGTTTCATGTGAATACATGTGTAAGAATGACCAAAAAGAAAAAGCATTGAATCTGTCTTATTTAAAATGTTACTTATTTTTACTTTTTGTTATGTTTTATTTGTACCATTTCGAGCAATCTTTTATTTTTACAAAAATAGCTTTTTATTATTTTATAACATTTTATATGAAGCTATTTTATTAGCTTCGTTTTGGCTACTGTAACACAATATCTTAACTTCTGGGGATAGATATCATTTTTATTTCTTTTTAGATACTTTGTTTATCTCAAAAGTGGAAAATTCCTTTGTAACAGCAGTTACTTTCAACACAACATTAAACAAACAGCTTAAAGGTTCAGTATGTAGAATTTTTCACCACTAGATGTCAGTAGATTGCAGGTTGCAATCAGCTGAATTCTGTTTTCTTACTTCTCCCAATTTAAGTGTATTATTGCAGCTATGGTGGCTGTTATAGGACAAACAGGGTTTTGTCAGCCATAGATAAAAAACATTACCATCAGATTTTATCCCTTACCAGCCACAGCTGGCTGTATATTTCTACTACAGTTTGTTTAAGAAATACTTTTCATACAAATTACATTTGAACATATTTGAATAATATCATCACTTAGCAAAAGATCAGGAAATACAAAAATGAACAGTTTGTTGGATAATTTAATTACACACTGTTCCATGGACATTTATGGATACAGTATGCTTTTAAAAAAAAAGACAAAATAGCCAGAAAAAGTACTGACTGTACCTTAAATTAAGATTGAAAAGCTAAACTTTTGAGATTTAAGATTAAAGTCATCCAACTTCCTCAAAACATTCAGATGTCCCCCGAGAGTAAACTTTAAAATTGTTTCATCATAAAAAACCCGACAGAGTCAAGACAAAAGAGATCTATTGTTTATTGCAATGATATCTTCCAGCGATGTGCTGTTTGTAGTAATGTACATGTAACTCAAAATGTGACTGTTTTACAGTATTGTTTGATTGCCACAGAATCAGCCACAGGAGTGTTTCCTGAACTGCACCATCATGGTTCCAGGTAGCTGCCGTTCGAACGAGTGTGCTCATTTGATTTGAATCATCAGGAGTACACCAAACATCTCTCACTTTATCTACTTTATGTGATTTAAAGGAAACAAAAAGCGGTTTTAGTTTGAGTTAGTTTTCCTTATTTCCTGGTCTAATGATGGATGTTCATATTAAACTTGACCAGAGTTTTAAATAATGAGATACAATAATCCCTGTCAGTCAAAAGCTCCGGTTGCAGACTGCTATAAACACTCAGTTTGTGACAGTTTTTTCTACTCTTGGATCTGTATGATGTCAAAAAGAGGTCATCTGAGGCACAGGAGCCCCACCCCCATCTGATGTTCAAATTGAGAAGTGGGTGGTGCATATATTGCTTGAATACTGGTGCTGTGAATAATGCAAAGTTACTCCAGTCCAAGGATAGAAATATGGAGCTGGAAATGAGCAGAATAGGTTCTAATCACAACACAATCAGACTTCGGTTGAAACTACATTTGCATATTGGGGTTAAAATGCTTGAATCATGAGATCGGTTTTCCCTCTTTCTATCCCTTTTTTTCTGCTTGTTTTACTTGAGATTTTAACAGTGGGTCTTTGGCTGTGAACTGAGCCTCATCCACTAATTTAAGTTTAACAATATTAAAGGTAAACCCACATAAAGATGCCTTTTCCCAAAGCTCTCCTGTGTCTTCCTCCTACTGACAGTGTGCTTGATAGTTAAGTTTGGCTCCTATCTTTGTTCCTGCCAGACGTTTGTTGAAGACCTCGTCCATCTCTCGGCTCTGCTCTGGTGTGAAATGGTTCTTCCAGTCTCCAACCTCACCTTTGCAGGGACACAAACATCACAAAGTGAAACAGCTGCATTTGGATTCCACCTGAGGATTGATAAGATGTTGGCTAAGTATCACAGTATGCATTTCTCGTTTTCTACGCTACTTTCTGGGCACCTTTCCTGAAGAAGACATTCCCCATATTGCCGTGGGAGCTGCTGGAGCTTTCCTTCATGGCTTTGAAGGTGCTCGCATCTGCGATCTGCTGCACCTGAGCCTCTGTCAGGCTGAAGCCGTAGAAGCTGGAGATCCTACGGATGTTCTCGCTCAGGTCCTACGGGAAACAGAAGAATCATTACCGCACATTACCACAAACCCCTGCGGTGTCTAACTGTTCTATGTCAAATGCAGCTTTACCTGTTTCAGCTCTTCATATGTAACGACCATGACATTGGGGTCGTCCATCTTCTTCTCCCAACCTAAGGCGTGGTCAAAGTAAGACCCCCAGGGAACTACACACAAACAATGACAAAAAATTAATGAATCACCAGGTCAGAAGATGGCCCCCAAAATCGAAGCCACTCTTTCCCATGCTTAGTTAGAAATGCTTCTGTAATTCTAGTCTTCAGATTTAAAATCAAATTTTATAGATTTTTTTAATCTGAATAAATTATATATATCATATCAGAATATCTCAATTTGAGACGTGTAATTTCCAGGTCTAGGTTCAAATGAATTAATCAAAAACGATTTGAATCTATGAAGTCATTTTTTCACAAAAACATATTGTCAGGGTTCTTCCCAGTATTGACGATGGCTTGATTTCCAAATCAATAATCTCATTCATTCTAATGCTTCAGAAACAGTTTTTTCAGAAGCTCTGAAGTAATTTTTAGGACCTAAAGGTAACCAAATTATTGCTTAACCCATTCTTAACGCCTAAATTTGACCAAGATATTTTTAGCATCCAAAGCTAAACTAAATAGTTTTTATGTCTGTGAAGGTTCTCAGTCATCGTAGTCTGAGGAGCTCGGAAAGAAAAGCGTCATCCAAGAAGCTTCTTCAGTTATAAAAGCAACTGGTGGAGAGTCCCAGATTTTAAGGCCTATGGGAGTGTCCCCACGAGGGTCATGGTCCCCAGTCGCCCACTCACATCCTGGGCCATCTGACCTCAGGAAATCACACGACAGGGTGGGGCCAGGTTTCACAATGAGCTCACCCTTGGCTGATTGTGACCCACACCCGTTTTCACACCTTGGCTCAGGCGATTAGAGGATCATCAGGGGGTCCTTTTGTCCCTCTGTGGGGGGAAACTCCCACTAGGTTTAAATCTGGGACTCTCCACCATTTGACCTTAGAACTGAAGAAGCTTCTTGGATGAGAGGTGAAACGTCTTCAAGCAACTTAAAGAAGTCCAGACGCTTTTCTTTCCAAGCTCCTTTGACTAAATCGTTTTTCACACCTAAAGCTGAGTAATTTTAGCAAACCAAGTACTGTCTAGTGATAAACCTGATGGAATAATCTCTGGTGTCTCAAGCTAACCAAGGCCTTTTTTTAATACACTCTTGGCAGTAACTTCTGTGCCACTCGTTGATAGTTTTCTTTACAGTCAGAAGAATTTATTTTAAATAATTTTTGCTCTTTTTAAATCCAATTTCAGAATCACAGAAACTCACAGTCTTGGACCGAGTATTTCTTCTGTACTTTTTCTCTTTTAATAGACATTATAAATCTCTTAATTACAGGTTATGGTATCTGTGTTTATTATACTCTGACAAGCATCTCTCTGTGCTCAGTCCAGGCCTGATAAGCAACTAAACTAACTGTTTTATTGCAGTGCTTCATAGCAAACTCACTAAGTGGGGCCACAGCAGCTCTTTGCCCCACTTGGACCAATCCAACATTTCCACCGTGACCCTGCTGAGTCAGCACTATGTGCTGTTTGTGAGGCCACAAGTGCAGCAAAGCTCAGGATTATGAAGCCAAATCAAAGAGTGAAACAAAAGCTGGTATTTTTATGGACAAGGTTTGGACCACAGTGTGTCCAGCGTTCCTCACATTAATAAGTATTATGCTCGGTTTGTTTGCTCACCTTCTCCACTCATGAACTGGGAGTAAAAGGTGTCCCAGGACTTTGCGGATGGGAGCGCTGGGTTGCTGTTGGAGAAATGATAGAAGGAGACCATTGTGTCTTTCGGGTTTCTGAAGACCACCAGAATCTGTGCAAGAAAAACCACACAAATGAGATTTTATTGACCTGGAGAGAGGAGAGAAAGGATACAAGAACAGAAAGACGGGAACAACAGTTACAA